AAAACATCAAAAAAAAAGGAGAAGGAAAAGTGACTGCAATGTGTTAAATTGCTTCTTCTTCTTCTCCCTTTCTCCCTCTCTCCCTCTCTCTCTCTCTCTCTCTTTCTCCTTTTTTCATCTTTTGTTAAATTTAAATGCAATAAAGAAGAAGAAGGAGAAAAAAAAATTCTTTTTTTTCTTGAAATAAACTTAAACTATAAAAATTTGAAAAAGTGACAAATAAAGAAAACAGTTTTTAAAAAGAAGAAAATTGAACTGTGTGCAGATTAGAAGAAAATAAAAAGACGACATAAAAAAAAAAAGAAAAAAGTATATAGTAACCAAAAAAAAAAAAAGAAGATGGTTTTGAAACTTTTTCCATCAAATTTTAGACCATTTTGGATCTTTTTTTTTTTTTTTTGAATGATTCAATGCAACGCTTCAAAAACAGTTTCTTCTATTTTTTTTTTTTTTGCCTTTCTACATCTTCTGCTGCTTACCATCTTTCCATCATTTTCCATTTTCTTTTGCATCTGCTTCAGAAAACAACGTTTGATGTTATTTCTATCAAAAAGAAAAAAGTGACAAAAAAATTAGAGGAGAAGAAAATGTCAATAAGGCAGAGGAAACAATACTTGAAATAGGGGCAAACAGATGATGAATTTGAGGCAAAGGGAGGATTGACAAGAAGGATGAGAAGGAGGAGGAGGTGGAGAAGAAGAAGAAGAAGAAGAAGGAGAGTTCCGATGGTGATGAAGGTGAAAAAATTGGTCTCCAAAGATCATCAAAAAAATTTTTTTCTTTTTTTTGCTTATGCATAATTTTATTTTCAGTTTTTACAATAACTGAATTTATAAAAATTCAAAAAAAAAGAAGAGAAAAAATTTTGAAAGCAACTAACATTATTTTTACTCCTCTATTTTTTCTAATTCTTATCTTCTGCTCTTAGCCACACAATATTTTTTGTCTGCCACTAAACTCTGTCTTTTTTTTTTTTTGGCTAACTTTTTTTTTTTCAAGTTGAAAAAACAGATGAAAAAAAAAAAAAGTAATTTTGGAGAAGAAGTGAAAACTATGTTAATTGAAATGGAAAAAAAAAAATGAAAATTTTTTTTTAACTGAAAAATCGAAAATAGTAAATGTTAAATTGTCCGAAAAAAAAAAAAAAAATGTGTAACGAAGCTGTGAACGACGAAAAATTGGAGAGGAAAAAAAATCCTCTTTTTTTTACGTATATTCGTTGATGTTGCATTTTTCCCCCCCCCCCCCCCCCCCCCCCCCCCCCCC